AATATCGCGTGCCGATTTATGAGGCCTTAGTGTTACAGGGTGCTTTAATTGCAAAACAATGTTAAAGCCAGAACATTTTTTAAAGATGAGGATTTGTTACTTGGTGTGGGGGTGGGAGAAAAGGTTTGTACTTAAATGCGAAATGCCCGGGCAATCTTCTTTGAGGAAGGCACTCTACAGTTGCAGAGACACCATTCAGCGGGCCCTTTGCATGCAGCCCACTATGTTCGAATGTCCGGAGAAGAACACCATTAGGGATGGGCAGATGTCCTCCTACTGATGGCACGATCACTTGCTGTGGAGTCTACGAGCCTCAGCGCTGAATTTTGGCCTCCAACCTCCTCTTCAGAAGCAGTTCCATTTATACATTATTGCAGTTTCTGCAGACTTAGACTTGGCTCCTCACAAAACACTAAATCATGGCTGGTTTAACTATTGTGTGAACTCTGTCACCTGTGGTTTATTCGATAAACAATGGCCTAAAAGTATCAAAAGAATTTTTTTTTTTCCCCTGAGTGTAACTGGCAAAGCCAGCCTAGGAACAAAGATAGCTGCTGGTCAGGAGTCAGGACCGCCACCTTCTTTTTTTAGACTCCATGATTTGCAACTGACAAACACCTGCATGCAAATTTTATCCTATCTGAGGTTCCTTTTACCAGCCCAAATCCCCAGACGAGCACGCACACAGGCTGCTTAATCACACCAACCAGGTTCACTAGAAACTCCCTTCTCTGCCAACACTTGATGTTCTTGGTCTGAATTGAACTCAGTCGCTTGTCACTGAGTTTGCTTTGAATTCAGGTTGAAACAGTCTAACTATTAGACCCTACCTTGAACATCCTTCTCATTTTTAGTGCTTGCCTGCTTAATTCTTTTTTTCCCAGAATCTGTTAGCAAGACTGGGCATATTCATGCCCCTGCTGCCATCTTAGTCTCATGCATTTAAAGAACTAAACTGTTCATAGAGGTTGGTGCCATAACATCTTGTCTGTATGTATGCTTCTTTGCCACAACAACATTGTGGAACGTGCAGTCTGCCTAAAAACAGCAAGAGAAAAGGCTTGGTGGATTTTCCCAGGGAGAGATTTTTGCAGCTGTGATGCCACCACTGAATACGTCCCTCTCTTGTATTCACCAATCTGAGCCTCAAAATCAGCCTTAAGGCTTAGTGAGCTGACTTGGCAAACCTGTAAGGAATATATTCTGCAGAAAAGTTACAGGTAGACTTCTCATCCATTTGTTGGAGCTATGCTTAATAAAGTTGGAGAGAACTCAGTGCGAGAGTGTAGATATCACTACTTGTCAGAAACAGGCCTGACTTTTCTGTTCAAGCAGTCAAGGAACAAATGTTTCCATGCCCTTTCTTCATTCCCATATCTCCTTTCCTCTTCCATGATCACCACCTTTCCCTTCCTCCTATTGCTAAATTGGGTTTGTTGTAGTTGCCGCTCTGATTTCTTTCTCTTGGGCTCAGTCCTTAGTTTGGTCAGCCTTCTGTCCTGCATCTGTATTTGAGTGTCTCCCTGGTCCCAAGCAAATGCTTAAAAAAACAACACCCAGGAAGGGTAATGGCTGCCCGTCCCTCTGTTCTAAATTGCTTACGAAAAGCTTGATATGAGTTTCACAGAGGAACAGCGCAAAGTCAGACGTGAAGTGCAGTGACAGGAGGACTGCTGGTGCGGCAGAGAGGCCAGAAGCGCTGCTCCTTAGGCGGATCTTTGCTTCTGCCCTGTACAGGATGTAGCTTGTTGTTAGGGAGCCTGTACAGAAAAGCTGCTGCTGCTGCTGCTGCTGCTGCTTCTGATAATATTTGCTTAGAAGGGCAGCGCAGCCGCCGTCAGAACTGGCCCGTCCGGTTCTGCTCTCTACCCAAAGCCTGGCTGATGAGTTATGACCGTGGCTGGCAGTTGAGGGTCACTAACTCGGTGGCTTCCTTTGCTGGTGCGTTTGAATCGTTCCGACCCAAGTGCGCCTGCCTGCAGGCAGGGTTGGTGTCTCGGCGGGGAGGAGCCGAAGAGGGCATCGGTTTGATGGCTCCTCAAGCGGCAGACAGACGGGATCGTGGCTGCTGCGGAGGGGCCTCTGTTCCAGGCAGTGCTGCTCCTGGCTTCCCAGCCTAATCTCCTGTGTTCGTGGATCAAAATGCACGCAGCACATCACCAGGAACGGGCAAATGCATCAGTTGCACTCAGTTCATTTTTGTAAACACTGGTGCATTGCTTGAGGTTTTTCTTTTTAAAGGCTGCACAAAAATGTATCTATTCTCCAGATGTATGTATTTCTTTTTTCAGTTTTGCCTAATGTATAGTTTTTGAAAACAAAATTCTCCTAATCGAATGCATATATGCATCTTGTACAGCTTTTTTGGGGGGGGCAGGGTAAATTGAATGGTAAGGTTCAAAGAACTGTACATTTCAAATGACAACTAAATTTTGATTAGTTTAAGAATGTGAATTAGAACAGGTGACAGAGATTCAAATTCACGTCTCCCATCCCTACTTATGACATTACTCACAGGCTTTCCTGAGCGCTGGGCTGTACGAGGTTTGCTAACCTTTTCTGTTGCATGCATCGCTGCTAAGCGCCACCTGCTTCCTGTCTTGAGGGCTTTGGAAATGTACTGAAAGAGAGTTGTGTTGGAGGTGCCAAGTATGTCACAACAATTCAGCAGAGTAGGCTTCTAGTAAGGCCAGCTTTGGTGTGGGGGTGTCCCACTGCTTGCCACTGGCTTCCAAGGCAGGAAGGAAGCCATGATGGTGGATATCTCAGTTGCTCAGGGCCCAGTGTGCTTGGAAGCCTCCGCATCTGCCCAGGAACTTGTACCAGGCGGTTGGGAAGGTAAAAGAATTTGCAGCATGCCCAGAAGTATTTTTTGGGTTACTTTGCTCCCAGAGCTATGCGGTGGGAGGGTAAGAAATGGGCCGAAGTCTCTGACACAAATGAACCTTTGTGGTATATTTATTTTATTTTATTTTATTGTGTATGTGTGCCTTTGAGTCAGTCTTGAGTCCCAGTGACTGCCTGGACAAGTCTCTGCAATTCTCCTGGCATTTTCAGAAGCAGTTTGCCCTTCCGAGGCCCGGCCCAAAGTCACCCAGCTGGCTTCCAAGGCAGGACTAGAACTGATGGCCTCCCAGTCCCCCTCTTCTGGTGCCTTTAACCGCTGCATCAGCCTGGCTCTGTGTGTCAGTCTCATTCATACGTTGGTTAGGTTGGTTCCCCACCTACCTATAGAGTAATTGGTTCTTACATGACCATCAGCTGTAGCTTGCTTGAGTGGCTGTACTGAGCGAAGCCCGACTCGCTGGGTTTGTGTATGGCATTAAGCCATAAATCGTGCCTTGCCGACCACCGTGGCTAGGTTTGCGGCATTTGCTAAGCCAGACCAAATGAACCGCAGGAAGGTTCAGGGTATTGTGTAAACCGGAAGAGTCCTACACCACTCTAGAGCCATGTTTCGCAACCTTGGCAACTTCAACTCCCAGAATTCCCCAGCCTGCCAGCTGGCTGGGGAATTCTGGGAGTTGAAGTCCACATACCTTAAAGTTGCCAAGGTTGAGAGACACTGCTCTGAAGGCGTACAACCCTGTCTGTGCCTGGATTAATACATTCCAAAGTAGAGTTATGGGCCTCTTTGTCCTGTTGGCGCCGTGGAGGAACCATAGCCGCCACACGTCCCCATCAGAACACTGAGCGTCTAACACCGACCGCAACGCTTCCAGCTTTGCAGCGACTTGCACTTTGTCCCTCGGGGCCTGCCTTCCAGCAGGGCTGGAACTAGGGGAGGATGGAGCACGGGGGATGCCACTCATGAGGGACACAGGTCTTGGACCAGCTCTGGGGCCAGTTCACAGGGCTGGGAATGTGGGCGGCTGCTTTGCTTCCCTGCTGAACGTTTGAAGTTCTGCCTCTGCTGCGTCCTGGGAAAACACTGGCTCTCCCTGGGATGCCCTGCAACGGCTGACAATTGCCGGGCCTCAGCTCTGCCCTGCCAGCTTTGGCTCTGTGTGGTCAGTGGGTGGAAGAGGAGGTAGCTGAGGACTTGGCTCTGCCTGTGCTGCTGCGTTAAGCGGTTCTCTGCTTTCTCCTAATGGTCCGGAATCTTTTTGTGCCAAACTTCAGTTCATCGACTGCAATCCGTGTAATTCTCTCTGGAGAAGGGTGACCCCTAGAATCTCCTCTCAGCGTTCTTCCCCATCATCTCCTGGTCCCAGAAATGACATAGCAGCGAGGCAGAAGAGGTGGGGAAAGAATGGCAGAGTTCTCCCTAGGTACCAACACACACGTTCATTCTTGCATTTGTGTGCATAAGGGGTCCCCAAAGATAAATTACACCTGTGAAATGGGGCTGGTGGGCATCTTGGCATCTCCCGAGAGCCATTTGGGCCTTTGAGTGGCTCCTTGATTGGGAAATGGCAGGAAATGGGGGTCTGGACTGGCTGCGTGTGGATGCAGGAGGTAAGAAGGCTTCCAGACTGTTCTTAGCTTCATATTCTAATAAATGCACCAAGAAAGCTGCTTCTACAAGATCTGTTTTTACAAGTAGTTACTCTTTCCATAGTATTTACCCCAGCTAAATCTGTCTTGTTTCCTTTTCTTCTTCTGTCTGCAAATTCCAGCCTCCTGTGTTTTCCCTTTCCTCTCAGAATTCCCACCCACCCTCCAAATGTTTTACACGGGTGGACAAAGAAACACCTTGC